ACTCAGGATGAAGCATGAAGCATGAAGCATTATGTTTGGACATGACCAGCTGCGCCACAATGGTGGCAAATAACCTTGCTACTAGAAGCACGAGAACCAAACTTGGTAGCAAGAGCCATCTGATCTAAAACTAAAGATAAGGCAGGAAAGGAGGAAGAAAGCGGAGCCACCAGTTAAATCAATCGACGACGATGCTCCTCGCTGTCAATAGTAGCAAAAGCCTTATATAAGGATGACATAGGTGATGTGTTCAAAATCTGAATACGAAGAGACTCAAATTCATGTTTTAAACCCATCAGAAATTGATAGGTGTGATGGTGAGTAAGACGAGCAGACACAATAGAAGCAGCAATAGCTGAAAAATCACTCAATGGCTCATAATGTGCTAACTCCTCCCAACAAGGTTGAAGGTACCCAAAAAATTCGGCAACGATAAATCCCAAAGCTTCTTGAGAGGCATGAGAAATATCCTAATAGAGTTTGAAAATCCTAGCATCATTGTGGGAATGTGCGTACATCTGGGTAAGAGCACTCCACAACCGAGGAACTATATCACAGTATATGAACATGTTGTAGATGCGTTCTTCCATAGAGTTGAACATCAAACCAAGTAAGGTGCAATTGTCAATATCCCATTGAACCTGCTTAGGATCATCAGTAGGAGGTTGTGTCTCGGTTTCCAGAAGCCATCCAGATTTTCCTCTACCCTTAAAGTATAGACGTACAGACTGACTCCAAGCAGCAAAGTTGTGACCATTAGCAACACACTCGTAATCCGATGAACCGGAACATAGGAGACAAGGGAAACATTTGAACGAGGCATAATGCTCTGGGTTTGTGTAACAAAGTCAGACATTCTGAAACACCACGAAGCCAAAGTAGCGGCGCCACACAAAAAAAATGCTACCAAACAAATCGGTAGTCCAAGTAATAAGGAACACACAGGTTGCTTACCACATCAGCAACACACAACCCTAAAAAGGTTAGAAACCAGCCAAACCACCCTAGAAGGATGTTGAACTGCACAAAACTAGGACAGAGCCTGGTTGGTTGCTGTAGGAACCCTAGCAGTGACTGGAAAGGACTACCGACGGAGAGAGAAGGGTTTCGGGTGGTGTAAGGTGGTTGACAAGGGCTAGGTAGGTGAGTCGGCTACTAGGAAAGGGAGGAGAGGCTGGCGGTGGTGATTGGTAGGTGTGGTTAGGGTTTCTTTGGCTCTGATACCAAGAAGAAAGTTGTACAATATTGACTTACCCTAATTTGGGTAAGATCATGTCCATTCATAATCAATATAAGATGCACAAGAAAAGGGAATTAAATAATTACACAATCAAATTCTAAAAATCAAATCTCTAAATAACCGTAATTTATAGAAATTATGGGATCTCCTAAATATACAATATTCTGTATTCCAATGACGATATATTAGATTAGGGTGTTTGGTCGTAAGGAAATAATGTGGGGAAAAAAATTATATTCTTGACATCGCATTCAATTCGATTGACCTTTAGCTTTTTGCTGCCAAGGCCTGTCAACCAACTTGCTTAGTCTCCAACTTCATTCCCTAATCTTTTAGCTAAATCATCCTTGCTCAAACCCCAATCTTAGCAAATGAATTTCATTTTCCACTATTTTTTTAGTTTAGCTTTAACATTTCCAAAGAACATTGTATTCCATTTTTTCAATTTCTTTTTAAAACAACGTAATTTTTTTTTTACCAATTTGAAACGTGCTCATCCCCAGAAAGAGTTCCCTTCCTAATACTTGTTGGCAACTTTAAAGAACATGGGATGGGCCATACAAATATTTAAGAAGTTGGAAGGGTTTTGACGTGAGAGTATAGTACAACCTCTGATGCCAAATAACACAGGTGAAAAAAAGAGAGGAAGAAAAAGGTTGATTTAATAGCCAATGGTTACATTTCGCTGTCCAATACAATGGGTAGTGCTAATGCCACACACTAAATGGTTAGATACACACTGTATACTGTATAGACAAAATTATCCTCAGTCTGATCGTCATAGTGACTCTCTTTTTCTCTTTCTCTATTCTATCTTCGACTTTGATGAGGACGTCGCTCTGATACATCAAAGCATTATCTCAGAGAAAAAGAAAAAAGAAAATTATCAACAAATTTATTGATTTTAGAGATATGTATGGTATGTGTGCATGTTCATGAAATTTAATGGTGAGTTTTTATGCGTGAAAGTCCACAATAAACCGAAGCCCAGGAAAAAGGAATTAGATATAGATATAGTAGAGCTTTTGAACAGCCTCGTGGATGATATCAACACAACAAATGAAGAGATAAAATTGCAACCCATACAAAATTCACATTTCACACTCGCGGATGATGTCAACACAACAAATGAAGAGATAAAGATTGCAACCCGTATGACAAAATTCAAATTTCACACACAAACTGATTTACATATATAATCTGATAAACATGTACCTCGATTGTTGTTGCTCTCTGCTAGACTACCAATCTGATAAGGTAAGAATACCCCTGATCTTGCACATTCCTGTTTGGACCAAATATTTTCAAGAAAAATGATTGTTATGCTTGAGCAAGAGAAAAAGAGAAGAAAAATAATTGAATCTTCTGTTGTGGTTTCGACACTGTGACCAGTGCTAGAACCCCAAGATTGGTTGATTTTGAAGCAATGCCGCCATGGATTGGTGACTAGGTGGAATGTGGAGTTCCAAGGAGGTCTTAGACACGTTAGAGTTTGATTTCTGACCGGAGAAGGAGAGAAAACTGACCAGGAAATTGTAGCTGGAGCTCGTTGAGCAAATTATGAGATTAATTGGCCAAGTTGATTTTTCTTAGAAGTTGTCTCTTTGAGCTCCAATTTTTGTTCGGTTTGGGACCAAATAAAATCCCAGAAGTAGAGTAGGGGTGTTTAGTGGATATTTCGACTCGTCTAAACTGACCGAACCGAACCGATCTGATCCGCCACATTTTGGACGGATGCGTGATGACAAGCGGGCGGTTGCGGATTATTTTTTTCAATCCGCTCAGTTTTGGACGGATAGCAGATTTGAGGTTCCTTTGACCGCAACCGAACTGCCAAACCGCGAGCACTCCTAGTAATTTGTAAGATTTTGTGTTTTCAATTTAAATAATCTGTTTGTGTTTTCAATTGAAAAAGAGTTTAGATATTTTGTTGGGTTTTCAATTTGGAAATCCTTTCATCAAATGGTAAGTGTTGATATTTAGTATTTTTGTGTGAAAAATATAAAGCTTAATTTTGTTATTTTTTTAAAAAATCAAATTAAATAGTTTTTCAATAACAAAAAAAGTAATGAAATAGTTTTGATAATGTATAATTTTCTTATATGTATTTATTATTGGTATTTGACAATTTACTTGAAAATCTTTTGGTTATGTTGAGTTGAATTGTTATCAAAAAAAAAATGTTGACAAGTTGTATTATGTTCAAAATTTGTAAAAGTTTAAACCGCGAAACCGATTCGCATCGATCTGCCAATCCGGCAGACAAATGCGGATTGATTTTTTCCAATCTGCCATCCGCCAATCTGGCGGATTGGAGGTTTCCCAGCCACCCTCTATTAGAGAGAGTAGATAGTGGATGGTGTCAGTAAGAGGATGGAAGGAAGAGAGAACGAAGGAGGTGGAGACTGAAAAGGGTAATTTTGTCCATACGATCAAATGTTAGAGACTCCAGCTATTTAGTGTGTGGCATTAGTCCCACTCTAATACAATATATATGTATACATTGTTGACATCCCATTTTTTACCCTCCTCCAAAAGAGATGCATGATATGTACACACAATATATAAATCATTGATTTTCTTCTACAACTTCCAATTTCATGAAAATCACAACAACGAGACATTAATTCAAACTTGAACAATGGCATCCACATGAGAGTGATATGGTTGCCAATGTTAGCACTGCATCAGTAAAGAAGCATTGGTTGTCCAAAGTCAAAAACAATCCCTTTTCATTGGGTGGGGGTGGGGGTGGGGATCAAACCTGATAATTTAATTTAAAAGAGAATGAATATATGATACTAACAAAATTATCAGCTAATAATATGGGATTTGCATCAACAAGATAGAAATCTTTCTAGGTAACCTCCCAACTGTGCAGAATGCAACTAATGACTTATTCTGAATATATTAGTCCTATCTTTACATCAAATTTGATGTGACATCAATGACTTTCCAACTTTAAAATCCTTTTAGGAAGGGTGAGAGATTAAAGGCTGGCTAGCATTCTAACTAGTATGCAATTTCCAAACTTCATTTTTTTGCAGAATGACTCGAGTACAAAACTTTATATAGGCATAATATGACATCTACTACATACATGTACTTGGTTAATTAAAACTTTATATAGGCATAATATGACATCTACTACATACATGTACTTGGTTAATTTCCCATTTAATGCTTACACATCTCCAATACTAGATATTTACTTCATACATGAATGGAGAACTCTACAATTGTTCTAGAAATGTAACTTGAAATGTGTATAGAAACATGCATAATCATCTTCCACTCTGACTTCCATGTAGGATGCATGAATCAAGTTTAATTTAAAAAAAAAAAAAAAAAGTCTGGTGAGGTCTGGATTTAAAGCAAATTAGATTAATTGTTACTAAATAGGACTAGATTTGTGCAGACTTGACTATCAATTTTGATATTCAGTCATTGTTTCTGGTTAATAAATTTTGTATTTATTTATTGCTGTTCTTGAAAACCCATCATTGGACCTTCTTCATATGAAAGCCTAGCTACATACGCTATAATAGAATGATATAACCTTCCCATAGTGGATATGCCAATTAATTTTGTTCACTATATACTATGATTCAATTTATGATTCTGCAGATTGTCTTCAAAATTTGAAGTCAATGTATGATGCAGACTTTGACGAACATGAGTATTTGATTGAAGCAATTCTCACGTATTCATGATTGAGTAATTCAGTGACTGCATCTGTGTTGGTTTTGAAAATTTTCAGCATGCAGGAGACGGTGCAGCGTTATCAGAGGCACACAAAAGATGTTCAATCAAACAATGCATTATTAGTGGAGCACAACATGCAGGTTATGCCCCCTCTATATGATCATATACCAATTTCTTTTTTGGTGTACTACGTCTAACTTCAGGATTTATATTTAAATTCATTGTTATAGACATATATATGTATATTTCTATTAGTTTACTATAATTATCAAATCTCTTAAAACCTCATTTGGTTCAGGCTAAGAAGCCTGGAAAACCCAGCTTATATTCAACGTCTTGTTGGAATTTTTCAAATTTGATGGTTTTTTTTTTTTTTTTTTATAAGTAAGATGAAGAGATTTTAACTATAAAGACTATGAGCAACAATTTGTTCTCATGTGCTGTCCATTTTTTTTTTCAAACGCAAAACCTATGGGAACCCATTAGACCCTACGGAACTCAAATTTCTCACAATCATTTGTTTTGGACTGGCAGCATTTGAAGAATGAAGCAGCGGACATGTCAAAGAAGATAGAGCATCTTGAAGCTGCAAAACGGTTAGAAGGCCTAGTTTGAACATAACTCATTTCATATTTGAACGAAGGCTGTTGCATTTCTAAATTCTGGATTTGAAATATGCATTAGGAAACTCTTGGGAGAATGTCTAGGGTCGTGCACCATCGAAGAATTACAACAAATTGAACAACAGTTGGAGAGGAGCGTAAGCACTGTCCGGGCCAGAAAGGTTCATTTGGAGTCAAATCTATTGAATTTCTACAAAAAAATAGAAACTGAAAAAATTAGTAACGTATTGATTCTTGTTTGTATTTCAGATGCAAGTTTTCCAGGAACATATCGCGCAACTAAAAGAAAAGGTAAATTATCAAAATTTATTGATATTAGGCCCCCAATAACACATTGTTCTAGTTGGTTATGAGAACTTGAACAGAGAGTTAAAAAACCTAGAAATTTAGGATGGATGATTGAAGCTTCGCCTGTTTGGTTGTGTTTTCATTCTCTATTTTTTATTTCATTTTCCCGACAAACTGTTTTTCATTTTTTTTTTTTTTTTTTTTTTACCCATGAAATTTATTTTCAAATTTTTGATTTCTGCTTTTGCAGAAAAAAGAAAATGATTTGAACATGATGGGTGTGTTCAAACTTTTCATTGTTTTGTTTTCAAAATCACGAAAAATGAAAACACAACCAATTAAGGCCATCTCACTTCTTGCTGATGTTGCATCTCTTTTTCTTGCATCACATATAGGAGAAAATCCTAGCAGCTGAAAATGCAGTTCTATGCGAGAAGGTGATTCTCTTTTTCTCTTTTTATTGGGCTTATTTTTAGTGTTTCCTTTATAATTTTCGATATTCATTGTGCCCATCCACTGCTTCTTTCAGTCCTCATGAAAATTAAGAAATTTGGTACTGAACAACTATGATCTCGAAAGTCGCTACAAGGTTACATTTTTTTCTCTGAGTCATTCAATTGGCCACCAACCAAAGTCATTTAGGAACATTTTAGATTAGCTTTAATGATACATAATTTTAGGAAAAATAAAAACAATACCTTATTTATGCATGCCCTATTATTATGTATCGCATTGGGAACATAAAAATGTGAGAAACTTGGAGGTGATTTGAGATGTTCTAAGTAAGTGTATTTTTTGATTTTTTATTTAAAAAAATGTGTAAAAAAGTAGAGAAAGTGGGTAAAAAAGTGAAAAGGGGATGTTGATTGATATGACCCAAATAAGTGTATGTATGCAAAAAAAGTGAACTTTTTTAGTGCATGTCAAACACCTACTTAATATCTAATAAAATAAATGAATCAATAATATTTCAATCCCCGAAGATTATTAATTATTAGAGAGTCGACTCTATATATATGTTTCCAGTATGGCCTAGATCTGCAGCAAGAATCAAATGAAGACATGGAAATTGTGGCGTGCACAAAAACTACTGAGAATTTAGATGTGGAGACTGAATTGTTCATCGGACCACCCGATGCGAGAATCAAACGAGCTCTGCAGAAGTAACGCGTGACAAAATTTCCTGGCCAAGCCTTGCAAATATGCAATATATATATAATCATGATAACTGTTTTCATTTTCCACCTGTTGTCGAGAACATTATTGCTTCCAGAAAATTATTTTGTCGCAAGCAATAATACTGAGGGCAAAATTTTGCTCATTGATCCTTAAAAGAAGAATGAATGTACTTCTGCAATTTATGTGCTGAATGTATGTTATGTGATGGTCCCATGTGATTTTTTGAAATTATTTTTAGGATAAATTACACTTTGCTAAATGGCTACTTTCTTACTTTGGCCTTGTATGTTTTAAATTTTTTTCAATTTACTTTTAAAATTAATTTTTGTTTAAAATTAGATAGAAAATATCATAATAATTGTCATATAATATAAAAAAATATATTATTATATTAGAATTTAAGTTTATGTTAAAGATGTAAATGTGTAATAAAATATTTTTACGCTATGTGACTGTCAATGTCTTATTTTTTGTCTAATTTTTAATAAAAATTAATTTTAAGAGTAAATTGAAAAAAACTTGAAACAAGAAGGGTCAAAGTGAAATAAAGTAAATCTTAAGGGTCAAAGTAAAAAAATGATTAAACATAAAAGGGGCTAAATGTAGTTTATCCTTATTTTTATGATGATGTTATAAATGGAATATATATATATATATATATATATATATATACTTTGCTGGAATTAGTAGGTAATATTGTAACAACAATGATTGAGACTCCCTCCAATCACCACTCCCCACAGACACGTGGCGGGTTGTGATTGAAGGAGAAGGAATAAAAAACAAAAAAGAAAGAAAAAGTAGCTAATCAGGTGAAGAAAGGGTCAAGGGGATGGAAAAAAAAAGGAAGTCCAAGTCATTATTGATATTGCAATTGCATTTGATGGCTCATTGGTTCCTAAGAACAAAAATGGCAGCTCCAGTGCACTAGTTTTTCACCACTATAGGAATTTGTAGATGGATAAATGTACGTGTTGGCAGCTCCAGTGCACTAGTTTTTCACAACTATAGGAATTTGTAGATGGGTAAATGTACGTGTTTTCCGCCCCAATTGCGTGCATGGAAGCAATTTTTGTCATTTAAATCCGTGATATTTAGGGGAATGGTTTCTTACCGTACTCTTATCTTCTATATTTTTTTTATATTTCATTTTTGACTTTATTTTAGATCTATATTGATAATTTAAATCGTTCATCTCATAATTTCAACAATTTAAATGAATTATGTAAAAAATTAGTTTCATCATATATCACTAAATATATGAATAAATTACGTATTGTTTTTTAAAATGGATAGTAATTATGAGTTTAAATGTAAACTTTTCATTTTATAAAACAGAAAGTGATTTGTTTATGTATTTATCGATATTCGATAAAGTTGATTTTTTGCACAGATGGTCTTCAATATGAGATCTTCAAGATGAACGATTTAAATTATAATTGTAGCTTAGATTGGAGCTTACAAAATGAAGTATGGAGAAGTATGAAAGATAAGAGTACAGAAGAGAGTCATATATGATACTTAGGTGAATTAATTGTTTTATTTTTGGGTATGTCGAATATGGAAAAAAAAGTAATAAGATTCTAATGAAGTTACAAAACAAGAGAATGATAAAATGCATTGCTCTTAAAATATTCAATTTTATGTGAAAATTCTTAACTCTTTGATTATATTATTATTCAGAATCAAACATGAAAAAACGTATGTCACAGCATACATTTTAATATAATTTTTAAAATAAATTTTCAATGCATATCTTTGATTGAAAAACAAATAGAAAAGAAAGTATAACTCTTAAAATTTATGCTACTACAACTATTTTAATTCGAGTCAGGATTTGCTAAAGTTGATGTTTAGAATCATTTCGATGATATAAACTGTTCATCTCATATAATTAATTACAAAAATTAACTATATTAAAAGTTAAATTGATCTAATATTAATTGTCATACTGTCAGATCATTTTCATTTATATGATATACATATTTTTAAGAATAAATTGTCAATATATTATAATATATATGTAATACTTGTTTATGATCATATATATTTTCTAATGCATTTATACTACGCGCATTGCGTACTAGGGCGGAGATTCAGCTCAATAGACAATTGGGCTCTAAGAGATAATCAAGTCAATGGGCTCAAAAACTTGGGCGAAGCCCAGCAGACGCAGTTTGCCCATACTCCAGATGACCATAAGAATATTGTCAAGTTTTTCAAAAAAAATTCCCCTTTTATTTTTCTGTGAAAATAACCTACTTTTAGAAAACATCAAAAGTTGTTTTCATAAATAAATAAAACAAAAAAACAAAAACAATGAGATTTTTGGAACTTTTTATTATTTTTGTTCCAAAAAAACACAACAAAACTGAAAACGATACCCGAACACAAGTAGTGTGTGCCTACCTCTAGTAAACTATTTATGTGATCACATTCTTCCTCCAAAAATAAATAAATAAATAAATAAATAAATAAATGTGTTTCAATGGTGTGCAGGGAATGGGCTTATTGGATAAATATATTTATTACTAATAATGCAATTTGTAATCTATCCCCATGAAGGGAATGATAAAAGAACACATAAGTTTCAGTTCATAAATTTACCACATTGCAAAGCTCCAAACATAATTAACCATTCTTTTTTTTTTTTTTTGGGTGACACAAACATAAATAATTCAGACAATCATATATAAAGTCATATTATATATATGTATATTTGAGAGAAGTTCAAAGCACCCAACCCTGGACTATGTCACCAGCCATGGTCCTTGGAACAGATGATTCACCAGCTACATAGTGTTGGTACCTGTTTTTAAGTCCAACAATGGATTAGAAGTTTCTAATTAGTAAAATGCAATTCATACAAAATATATTTATAGAAATTGTCACTTGAATGATGTGGTAGCGATGTTTTTGAAGTTGAATTATATACTCCTTTCGTCCCAAAATATTAGTCCCTTTTGGGGAATCTAACTTTTTTTGATAGTACACTTATTGCATTTGAAAAAAGTTAATTTTCCAAAATTACCCTTTTGATAGTACATTTTTTAGGAATATCAATGTCATAATTGTACTTTTTAAATTATTTATTAATTTAAAAGAAGGGCAAAATAAGAAATTTACATTATTTTTGTACTTGATCACCAGCCATGGTCCTTGGAACAGATGATTCACCAGCAACATAGTGTTGGTACCTGTTTTTAAGTCCAACAATGGATTAGAAGTTTCTAATTAGTAAAATGCAATTCATACAAAATATATTTATAGAAATTGTCACTTGAATGATGTGGTAGCGATATTTTTGAAGTTGAATTATATATATATATAAGATTAAGTTATTATAGGTACACTGAAAAGCTAAAGGACTAAATCAAAGAATAAAGTGAAGTATTTATTTGATTTTTTTTTGGTCAGCATGTAAAGAAATTTATTAAAATATAGATGAATAGTACAAAGGACCATAGAAAGGATCAAGAAACTAGCACACCATAGATCAACATACAGAATTTTCACTCATTTATTAAAAATTTATGAAAGACTATAAATAACTATATTTTACATTGTTATTTTAAATTCATCCCAACAAAACTCTCAACTTTAATATTGAAATTCATATCTAAACTATCATAACTAGCTGAATTGATGCTATCTCCTTTGAATGAATGTGTTGGTTCTTGAAATTTATTTGTCTAGACACTATTCTGTTTGTTCTTGAAACCTCAAGACTTGTTTGATTTATGAATTTAGAGAGGAAAAACAAAAAAAAAAGTAAATGAAATTTGAATGAAAGCTATATTTCACACCATTTTTTCATATTTTTTTCTTTTTCTATTTTTAAATTTCTACCCAAATTCATGAACCAAACACAGTCTAAAGTTGTGTTTGAATCGTCAATTTGGAAAGAAAAAGAGAAAAGAAAAATGTGTGTAAAATATGAAAAAAAAAAATAGTTACATTTCACTTACATCTTGCTCACATTTTTTATTTACCTTTTCAAATCTTTAGCCAAATTCATAATCCAAACATAATCTAAAAATTATTTCAGCAGCCAACTTTTTGGTTTAAAAAAAATTGAAGTAAAAAAAAAAAAATCCAAATGTCACATTATTTATATATATATATATATATATCAATTAATAGCTTTTTTTCACAACTATCTATTTAACTAAAAAATTATTCCAAACACATTAATTTTTTTTTGCCTTATAAAAAAGTCTAAAATATATAAAAAAAAATCACTAAAAATAATTAAGTTGTCAACGGAGATCTAATGCTCTGTTTGTTTGGGTGAAAATTTTTTTCTAAAAAATATTTTTCATATTTTCTAGTGTTTAGTATAATAGAAAACAAAAGCCAACAAAAAAATATATTTTTTATGGTTAATGGAAAACAAGCCTATTTGGATAGAAAATATTTTCATATTTAAAAGGCGAATCAGATTAAAATTTTACCAATATCACTATACCACCACTACCATGGCCACCGCCACTACCACCATCACCATTGCAATCACCCCACCGTGCGACATGCCACCTCCTCCAACTCCACTTTCATTCCATCACTACCACCATCAAACGTAGAAAAACAATTTCTTTTTCGTCCAAACAAGTAAAGCGTAAGTTTAAATTTATATGGAGTACTTTTTTCAGGTAACTTTTCCCATATGTTTGAGAGAGAGAGAGAGAGAGAGAGAGAGTACCCTATTTGTAAGACAGTTTCATTGTCACAGTCCATGGGATTGGGTTGAGAAGGGTGAACAGAGAAGCTGGTGTTTCCAGTTGATGCATTAGTAGGATTCCATGAGCATGGAAGGGGTCCAAGACCTTGTCCTTCTGTCTGGAGCTGAAGCATATGCAACACAAAAACACAAACAAAACAAACACAAAAACAAAAAGGAACAATGGTTGGACATATGGTTACAAACCTATAACAACAAATGACACATATATATATGGTACTACTATACTATTTAATGAGTACCGATGATAACTCTAGTGAAACCTTAATCTTGAGCTGTTTGTTCATATCTCCAAGCTGACGCTCCTGCATCCAGTTTAACCATGCCCCACAATCATCAAAATATTATGAGAAAATAACATATGAGTTTTAAGATTGTATTTAAATCATAGATTTAAATAAGAATTTAGAAAAAGATAAAAAGTATGAGGAGTAATTTTCATTCACATTTTTTTTCTCTTAAATACTTAAATTCAAGATACAAACCTAATCTAAGGTAATTCTACTTCTTGCCATATCCAACCCCAACCCACTGTCATGTGTCAAACTTAAAAAAAGAATATGAGGTATTAAACATAATTATATTGAATAGTAACTGACATCAATTTGGGCCACAAGTAAAGATTACTTTAGTGGCAATCGAATCCATCCCAATGAGACTAATTGACTTTGATTTGATAGTGTACTGACCCTTCAGTATAGTGTTGAAAATTGTAATTCGCAATTTTCTAAGTTATATTTGTTTTGGACGAAAACATTAATCTATAGAGAATTAGATAAATGTTTACAAGATACATGTTAGGAAAGTAATAATTAGCTTTATCTATTTCTACTAATATGTGGAATGTTGAACAAAGTATAAATAAACTTAATATTTTTAAAAAATTAAAAAATTTTATATTTTTTTTTTATGTGAACAAAAATACCCCATTCTTGGGGTATGAAATTGACAGTAAGCTTTTTAACTATTATAATATAATGTTAAAAAAATAATTAATTAAAATTAAATAAAAAAACTAAAATTGTCATGTGAAAGCCCAACAAACTTTTATCATAAATGGTTATTTAATTTTTTATCATTTATCTTCTCTTTTGTTTTTAATTTTTAATTCTATGTACTATATCTTTCATTATTTTTATAAAAAATTAATCCAAATTAGAAAGACCTAGAAATTATTTTTGTTTGATTGGATTTTCAAAATTGTTTTTGAAAAATTAAATTAATTTAATAAAAATAAATACAAACATAAAAATGTTTTCAGCTTTTTAAAAATTATTTCTATACCAAAAAAATAAATAAAAATAAAAAGTTAAAATAAAAAAGAAAACAATAAGGATGTTTTGGTCTTATTATAAAAAAAATAACTATTTAATTTAGACAGCTCTAAGTTTTTACAATTTCCTATAATAGTGGATATAATTATATTAATTTAATGATTCCTCAAGGTAGACATATGTCAACAAAAGCCATACATGAATGCATATAGTAGATTTGCATGGGAATATGAAATGGTTATTTGGGGGTGTGAGATACATTTACCTAGAATATTCCAAAAGTTCGATTGCAAAGACTTCAATGTTCCATTGTTTCAGTGCTAGTCTAAGTGTTTTAAGTTTCCTTAGACACTGGAAGCTAGCCAACCCTTCTACATTATTTTCAGTTTAAATTCTCTCCACAAAGGTTTTGAAATTAGAATGTAGAGCCCAGACATTGAGAAATCTAAATAGCTTTGGACCCCAATCTATCTCATCTTCTATAAGCATTCTTGGTAATCTCCATAATTTGAATTTGAAACAAGTAAATTTTCTCCCCATCATTGGAATGTCACACATTTCCAAATTATCAATTGGCTCATTGAAATCATTCATACCTATGTCTCTTCTAGCACAACCCTTCCTCTCAGATATACTCCTTACTTCATTGAAATCACCCCCCAAACACCAATGTTTTTCGTGTAATTGATTTAATCTAGATAAGATGCCCCATACCCTTCTCCTATTGGTACTGTCATTTGGACCATGTATATTTACAATAACACATTCAAAACTCCAATTTGTTTGGTTCCTATGTGACACTAAGAAGTAAGACAATGCATTTTTTGACTTTGAATGGCATAACGATAGCCAATAAATTAGTTCCTTAGTTTCTACAGAAGTTACCCTTGGTGTTTTGTTTTGTTTTGTTTTCTTGTTTTTTTGTTTTTTTTTTCAATCTACAAAAAGTTGATGGAAATCCAAGGTATAAAATCAAATGCTAAAAAGACAAACATCAAAGGAGAGAAAAAAGTTCTTGTTGCATCCTAGCAAAACCCTCCTATCTCAACAAGGTTTCTTTGTTTGCCTCCTAATTTAAATCTCTACGAGAGTTGAACTCATAATCTACTCCTTAAGACTAAGCCCTTAGGAGAATTATAGAGGCCAATTAGACTAGACCTATAATTAGTTTCCTATCTTAAAAAGGTTAGCACATAAGAGCAAACCATATCATGAGTATCACTAACCAAAGGTTGGTGAGCATCCAACCTTTCATATGTTATTGCTTAGATTGATTTTTATTTTTTTATTGTAAGTCATTTAGGAAAAAAACATTTAGTTCTAGGTAAAGTTTCCTCTCACTCGACGAATAGGTTCAACAATGTTACCTCTTTGACATTATAGATGTGAAGTCAATGTTACCTTTTCGACGTTATGGATGTAATACTAGTTTTTGAATACCATAATTGTCAAATTTAAATTTGAAGAAATTCAAAAATTCTAGAGCCAAGACTTCAATAAATTTCAAATTAGATCACTACTTACAATTTGATTTTAAAGTAAACTATATGATTGTGATTACCTTTTGCCTGAGCTCTTCCATTTGTTCTACCATTATCTGTGTCTGCATTTATAAGAAATTATAATTAAAAAAAAAAGGAAAAAGAAAAGAAAGAGAAAAATATATAGCAGATAAAAGCATTGTTGATGTCAAAAACTCATTAGCATCATAAATTTAGAATTACTATTTTGACGAATTTTGGAAACTAGGTTTTTTTTTTTTTTTTTTTTTTTTGTAACTAGGCTTGTTTTTTATGATACTAGTAGATGTTTTTCTGTTTATAATGGAATCAGTGAGTGTCATAAATTCATAACTATGCATGCAAATCAACTTGGAAATATTAAAATAGGCAAATGCATGCAACTCACTTGGACATAGAACCTCATATTTAGTTGATACTCTGAGGGCATGTTTGATTAGAAGGATTAGAGTATGGGATTGAGATTATTAATCCGTGAGTTCAATTATCTCAGGTTTGTTTTGACAATTTGTTTTTGGATTATTAATCCAATGGATAATTAATTTAATAAATTTGTAGGATTATTAATAATAGGGTAGGGGTAGGGGTAGGATTGTGAATACCACACTAAGGCCATGTTTGCTTGAGCAGATTGGATCAGGTTGGATTAGCATTCCCATGACTAATAATCCTAGGACTACGAATCCTTTGGATTATGTAACCTATCTTATGTTTGGATTGAGTTAGGATTACAAGGAGGACTAATAGTCCAGACTTTGACTTAATCTTTCAATTTATATCCCACCCCCCTCTGTGGGATTAAATAGTCCATCATATGTGGGATACTATATCCAGATGGATTGTTAGTCCGTACTTCAATTGTTTAACCAAACATCGGATTAATAATTTTATTGGACTATTAATCCAATCCCAAGCTCATGTCAACCCAAACAAACATGGTCTAATTTGATAGGATTATTTATAACTCACTATTAGTCTTGTGAAATCAAACAAGGCCTGAAGTGACTAATACTCAAGGGCGGAACTGCATTTGGTCAAGTGTGGAAATTGCTCCCATTGAGTTTTATAAAGTATAATTTATGCTACGATTAATTTTTTTCCCTTTAAATTGCCCTTATTGGAATTTCAAAAACATTAATTTTGCCTAAGATCGTAAAATTTGTTTTGAAAACTATACCTATTATTTTTTATTTGTCTCTATGTGCTAAATCTAAATGACATTGAAAGAGAATTAATTGAGAGATTTTTGAAGATTTTCATAGCTGTTATTTAGTACTTATATACATAGAATTATTCTTTACAAGATTTTGATAGAACTACAACAAGGCAATTAAATCATTGGCACCAAAATGCATATTTTCTTTTTTCCTATTTTCTTTTCATTTCTTTTGATTATAAAGAGACTTACAAAAGATTAAATCTAACTAAAGCACCTTAAATTGGTATCTAGGAATGAATGTGCATATATGCAACATATCTAAGTGCAAAAGTGTGACCTTTTTAGAACTCCATTCAAGTACCTTTCTTTGCCTAGTTTGTGCAAGCGCTCCTTCGAGTTGTTTCTCAAGATTTTGCAACTCTTTCACACTTAGTGGTCCAAGATCTTCTCCAAGCAAGTGCCTTCATGCATTATATATATACATATAATATTATAAAAAAATGTTAGCATTGTAGAACTTGTATTCTTGGCCAGTAAATAGTCTATGTCAAACTTGAAGTTTTAAATGATATATGTTACTAACAATTTAAATTTGATGATGATGATAATCCAATGAGTCTATGACTAGTAATGCAACTAGTAGTCCTAGTCATAGAGATGCATGAACTATGAAGAAGACAAAGACCCTTGAAGATCTATTCAGATAAAAAATTAGTAGTGGATTTTTATAAAAAATTAATCCAAATTAGAAAGACCTAGAAATTATTTTTGTTTGATTGGATTTTCAAAATTGTTTTTGAAAAATTAAATTAATTTAATAAAAATAAATACAAACAAAAAAATGCTTTCAGCTTTTTAAAAATTATTTCTATACCAAAAAAATAAATAAAAATAAAAAGTTAAAATAAAAAAGAAAAACAATAAAGGTATTTTGGTCTTATTATAAAAAAAATAACTATTTAATTTAGACAGCTCTAAGTTTTTACAATTTCCTATAATAGTGGATATAATTATATTAATTTAATGATTCCTCAAGGTAGACATATGTTAACAAAAGCCATACATGAATGCATATAGTAGATTTGCATGGGAATATGAAATGGTTATTTGGGGGTGTGAGATACATTTACCTAGAATATTCCAAAAGTTCGATTGCAAAGACTTCAATGTTCCATTGTTTCAGTGCTAGTCTAAGTGTTTTAAGTTTCCTTGGACACTTGAAGCTAGCCAACCCTTCTACATTATTTTCAGTTTAAATTCTCTCCACAAAGGTTTTGAAATTAGAATGTAGAGTCCAGACATTGAGAAATCTAAATAGCTTGGATCCCAATCTATCTCATCTTCCATAAGCATTCTTGGTAATCCCCACAATTTGAATTTGAACTTGAACTTGAACTTCTACATCCATTCTGGACTGAGCAAGAACCTATCAATCCTATTCCATTTTTCCCCTTCTTAAGAACTACAAGAAGTAATTTTTCTCCCCATCATTGGAATGTCACACATTTCCAAATTATCAATTGGCTCATTGAAATCATTCATACCTATGTCTCTTCTAGCACAACCCTTCCTCTCAGATATACTCCTTACTTCATTGAAATCACCCCCCAAACACCAATGTTTTTCGTATGATTGATTTAATCTAGATAAGATGCCCCATACCCTTCTCCTATTGGTACTGTCATTTGGACCATGTATATTTACATTAACACATTCAAAACTTGAATTTGTTTGGTTCCTATGTGACACTAAGAAGTAAGACAATGCATTTTTTGACTTTGAATGGCATAACGATAGCCAATAAATTAGTTCCTTAGTTTCTACAGAAGTTACCCTTGGTGTTTTGTTTTGTTTTGTTTTCTTGTTTTTTTGTTTTTTTTTTCAATCTACAAAAAGTTGATGGAAATCCAAGGTATAAAATCAAACGCTAAAAAGACAAACATCAAAGGAGAGAAAAAAGTTCTTGTTGCGTCCTAGCAAAACCCTCCTATCTCAACAAGGTTTCTTTGTTTGCCTCCTAATTTAAATCTCTATGAGAGTTGAACTCATAATCTACTCCTTAAGACTAAGCCCTTAGGAGAGTTATAGAGGCCAATTAGACTAGACCTATAATTAGTTTCCTATCTTAAAAAGGTTAGCACATAAGAGCAAACCATATCATGAGTATCACTAACCAAAGGTTGGTGAGCATCCAACCTTTCATATGTTATTGCTTAGATTGATTTTTATTTTTTTATTGTAAGTCATTTAGGAAAAAAACATTTAGTTCTAGGTAAAGTTTCCTCTCACTCGACGAATAGGTTCAACAATGTTACCTCTTTGACATTATAGATGTGAAGTCAATGTTACCTTTTCGACGTTATGGATGTAATACTAGTTTTTGAATACCATAATTGTCAAATTTAAATTTGAAGAAATTCAAAAATTCTAGAGCCACGACTTCAATAAATTTCAAATTAGATCACTACTTACAATTTGATTTTAAAGTAAACTATATGATTGTAATTACCTTTTGCCTGAGCTCTTCCATTTGTTCTACCATTATCTGTGTCTGCATTTATAAGAAATTATAATTAAAAAAAAGGAAAAAGAAAAGAAAGAGAAAAATATATAGCAGATAAAAGCATTGTTAATGTCAAAAACTCATTAGCATCATAAATTTAGAATTTCTATTTTGACGAATTTTGGAAACTAGGGTTTTTTTTTTTTTTTGGCATATGCATGCAAATCAACTTGGAAATATTAAAATAGGCAAATGCATGCAACTCACTTGGACATAGAACCTCATATTTAGTTGATACTCTGAAGTGGTAGTTCTTGTAAACCGAAGGACTAATACTCAAGGGCGGAACTGCATTTGGTCAAGTGTGGAAATTGCTCCCATTGAGTTTAAAAAAGTATAATTCGTGCTAAGATTATTTTTTTCCCCCCTTTAAATTGCCCTTATTGGAATTTCAAAATTATTAATTTTGCCTAAGATTGTAAAATTTATTTTGAAAACTATACCTATTATTTTTTATTTGTCTTTATGTGCTAAATCTAAATGACATTGAAAGAGAATTAATTGAAACATTTTTGAAGATTTTCATAGCTGTTATTTTGTACTTTAATATACATAGAATTGTTCTTTACAAGACTAAATGTTTCAATCAATTGAGAAGATTTTGATAGAATTACAACAAGGCAATTAAATCATTGGCACCAAAATGGATATTTTCTTTTTTCCTCTTTTCTTTTCATTTCTTTTGATTATAAAGAGACTTACAAAAGATTAAATCTAACTAAAGCACCTTAAATTGGTATCTAGGAATGAATGTGCATATATGCAACATATCTAAGTGCAAAAGTGTGACCTCTTTAGAACTCCATTCAAGTACCTTTCTTTGCCTAGTTTGTGCAAGCGCTCCTTCGAGTTGTTTCTCAAGATTTTGCAACTCTTTCACACTTAGTGGTCCAAGATCTTCTCCAAGCAAATGTCTTCATGCATTATATATATACATATAATATTATAAAAAATGTTAGCATCGCGGTACTTGTATTCTTGGCCAGTAAATAGTCTATTTCAAACTTGAAGTTTTAAATGATATATGTTGCTAACAATTTAAATTTGATGATGATGATAATCCAATGAGTCTATGACTAGTAATGCAACTAGTAGTCCTAGTCATAGATATGCATGAACTATGAAGAAGACAAAGACCCTTGAAGATCTATTCAGATAAAAAAAAATTAGTAGTGGCGTAATTAACCTTTGAGTGCGTTGAAGGGATTCGAACTTTGCCCTTAACTTCGATACCTCCTGGTACCAGCTCTGTATTAACTCCGAAGTCCAAACACAAAAATTTTCATTACAAAATGCGTGAAACTATCATTTCCGCATCAAAATAATCCATTTTAAGCATGGATTAACTTGAATATGAGAACAAGGTATCATAATCAGCTCAATTCTTCATGACGTAAAAATTTACCATCATTCAAAGTAATTTTTTTTCAAAGAAGAAACATATAAAGAACAAACCTGCGTTTCCCGTTCCACACTGTTGTCATGAGGATTAAAGTTGCAATGTTGGTACCTCTCTAGGGTTTTGGTCATACTGCAAAGAGAAAACAAGTGTAAATATCAGTTTGCATAAGCTTATTAGTCCATATGTATAGATGCGATAAAATAAACATAATCATAATACCAAAGAATTTGTATTTTGTATGCCCAATTCAATAACGACTTGCAATAAGGGATTTATTAGAGATTTAACAATGGGGAGTAGTAGAATTTTTTTGTTAATTTTTAAGTTAAGAAATCAACAATGTTGCATGGGATCCACACATTTAGGCGGAGAGACTAACTGGATACAATCGCTTGAGAAACCTCACGGGTGGAGAGAGGCAAAAGATGTAAGCTAAAAACATGGCAAAGAAAAAGGATTAGAAATCACCCATCACATTATTGAGGAAAAGAATGAATTGTTTTTCATTCTTGCTATTTCATCACTATTATAGATCCAAATTATTTTATGTAGGAACATATTCTTTGAATGCTCTTCAATTTCAAGTAAACTAGTCTGGTTACGCTCCAATTCAAATGTGAAACTATAATGGCAATGTAAAATCTTTTTTTTTGAACAAGGCAAAGAGAATTTTTTTTATTAAAATGAAATGAAGAACCATTATAAAGACTCAGGAGGGAAATTGCATCATGCATCATTATCCAAACACCACATCCCAACTATGTCGGCACCCGATGATGGAATGAGTTGGTTTATATTGGAAAAGTAATTTGAAATTTACAAAATATCTAGTTTAGATGATGCATGACATGTCATGAGTGTAAATTTGTTCACACATAGTGTCTGAACATTACACTTGACATTGATTGGTTTTTTATAAGGTTAAATGTGGGACCGTCTCATTCAATTATCAATGGGAGAGTGTGTAAGGTTCGCCTTGGATGAACAAATTTGCACTCGATGTGTTCATATGGTGTTGAGCTCCTAGGTGAAGTCTTTTAGACTTCATAGGTTGACTACCATTATTGATACAGCTAGATTGGCTGATCTACTGAATACATCTCATCCAATTAGGGAAGGGTTGTCAACATTATCAGATGGAATGCATCTCCATCGTCATAGTTTTCAGTAAAATTAGCCTACTCGAGTCTCGAATCTGACCTTGGCCCTAAACTAACAAATGCTTCTCCACCAAAAGCTATGCTCTTTACCTGGTTAGCATGGAAAGGCAGGATAAAGACCTCAACTTTTCTACAATCAATTGGAGTAATTAGTAGGGATGCAAGTAACACTTGTGTGTTTTGAAGTGGAAGCATTGGACCATGTTCTATTATTATGCCCCTTTGTCTGGAAGCTATGGTCCAACATCATCAATTGGTGGAGATTATTATTGGATTGGTGGTTGGGATTCAAGTTCAAAAAACTGTAACATTTGATTTAGGGCACTATTCCTCTTGTAGTCCTTTGGTCAATTTGGAAGGAACACAATGCATGCATCTTCAACAACCATCAACCTAACCTTGAGGAGTTGTGTGAACTTGTCAAAGTACGTGTTGCATTCTGGGCAAAGGCTCACTCAACAAAGTTGCCTTATTCAATCGAGGACTTTATCTTGAACCTGAACTAAATTCAACATTGCATCTAATTTAGTGTTGGTGTCTTTTTATTTTAATTTGTTTATTCTTCTTAGAATGGATTGGTGTTTGGCTGGTTTCATGTAAAATAAGGGATTGCCACTGGGTGTTAACTAGCATTTTTCTACAGAGTCCTTTTGCTAAGTCATGCGTTGACAACCTTAAATATTAGTGGGTAGCTGTGATATCTGGGAGGGTAAGTGATCTGGGATTTGTGATTTGGGCTTGGTTCTAATCTGGGTTTTTCAATTTGGTATAGCAGAGAGCAGGTAGCTAGTCTTGATTCGCTTAGTTAAAGGTTTCACCCACCACCTGTTCAAAAAAATGTCCTAGTGAAAATGTAATGGAACAAAGAGGAAATGGAGGTTGGATTCCAGTTGTGAAGCAGCAGAAAGGTGGAAAAAACACAAGGCAAGGAGGCTAAGCATGGACTGCTTGCTGTCTTTGTGGACAATTTACCTTTAGCAATGGATGCTAAAACACTATTCGAACTTTTCACAAAGTTTGGGATAGTGAAGGATATCTTCATACCTACCAAAAGAAGGATAGTGACAAACTCAAGATTTGAGTTTGTGAGATTTGATTGCCATGTAGCAGCAGACATTCCCATCCAAAAAGGGAATGGTTTATTGGTGGATGACATGGTGCTGGTAGTAAAAAAAGCTACATATGTCAAGAACTTCAGAGATGAACAAAGCAGGAGTAGGCCTCAGATCATCAGGAAACCTTTTGAAACAAGCAGAAATAGGGTTGAAGTTTCTTTTGCAGGCCAAAGATCCTTCACTAAGGTCTTAAAATGGGTCACACCCATAGTGGCTGGGAAAACAAATTTGAGCTTAAAAGTCATTGAAGAAGGCCATGGCTGGCTCTTTGAAAGTGCCATAGTCAGGCTTAATACTGAATACTCCAATCATTACATTGAAAATGCACTAAAAGAGAAAGGGTTGGATCAGGTATTTGTCAGAAAATGGGGAGGACAAGATATAATATTAGCCTTCAAATCTCAAGAGGAGCTGAAATCAAATATCGGTAATATCAAAGAGTGGTTTAAGGATTGGATTCAATTTGTGGTGGAATGGAAGCCAGGATTTCATATCGAACAAGAGAGATATGTGTGGTTGAGGTGTTGTTATGGCATACTCTTAAATATCTGGACTAGGAGCACATTTAACAGCATTGGAAACTTATGGGGTTCAGTTCTCAACTTGGATGGAGATATTTGTCAACCAAAGGTCTTCTCCCATACCAGAATCAGAGTGGTTACATCTTGTATGAAGTTTATAAACAAAACTATATTATTGGAGTGCAAGGGTAAATTACATCTCATTCTTGTGTGCAAAGATCTTATATCAGACTCTAGTAAGATAAAGCACAATGGCATGGAAGAAAGTAGCTCCAACGACATTTGTGGCAGTGAGGTGGCAGAAGACAAATTACACAGCCCAAAAAGTGGAATGGCGGTAACCACAACTGTTAAGGAGACAAAGTGGGATGAAGGATTCAACAGAGATTATGGAGCATGTACTAATTAAAGAGGTAAAAAAAAGGGGAAGGGCCTATTGACTGTCACACAGGAGAGGAGACAGCAGAAACTATGTTGGAGAAGTCAACGCATAGCCCAAAAAGTCAGGTACAAGTCTCTACTCCTGGATTTATCAAAAGCTTTAGTAGATCTAGAGATGGACTTAGGCATAGCATCAATCTTGAAGTGGATTTGGCCCAAGCACTAAATAAGAACTTAAATGGAAGGGGTATTTTTAGCCTAAATCATGCAAGCCTTGCTAGGCAACCTGCTTCTGTCCATAAATTCCTGCGGTTTGAGAAGTAAAAAAAGAAGAAGAAGGTTCAGTTAGAGGGGTTCACTAGTTTTGCTAGACTTCATGGGCATAAAGTTGCTACAGTCAGCCAGCACACCTCCAAGTCTGTCATTTATCGACCAGCAACAGCTGCTATAGCACATTCAGATCTGTCTGAACAATTATGTCCTCAAAGAAGCTAAAGCCACTTTACAATTGGGGAAATCTCTTGGCATCAATTTCAATGGAGAAGAAGATGATGTTCTGAACAAGATTATTGAGCTAGCGCTAAAGAATAAAGAGAGAACCAACAACGAGGGGTAGGCCTGTGAGGAAAGGTAGAATCAAGAAGCTATTATGTCTGTAGGTCATTACTAGGATTGTAGGATTGTTGGTTTGGCTTTAAGTATCAAGAGTTAGAAGCAAGATTGTGTAAACTCTTCTGTTGGCAATAGTGTGGTAAGTGTGGAGGATTTAAAGTCAAAGTGCTCTCATGGGTTATAAGCAATTGTTAATCTAGTCTTTGGGTGGCATCAAGTGTTGGTTTCTCACTAACACTATGCTTTGTTCCCCTTTTACTTTTTTGCTTTTAATTTCATTTTGATGTAAACTCATATGTAATATATGTTTTCTTCATCAATAAAGATTTTCTTTGCTGATCCAAAAAAAAAACCTAGCCCTTCCCTACCCCTTCCCCTCAAGTTTTTTTTTTTTTTTTTTTTTTTCTCTTTCTTTTGTCGTTGGTTGGTGCCTCACCAACTCAAGTTTGTGCCAGCAAATCATATGGCAAGCTTTGGGGTGCCAACCTAGTTGGAATCTCCTAGTTTGCTGTGATGCTCTCTACACTCTTTGTCTTGTACTTGGATTTCCCATCAATAAAGTTTCTCTTTTTTGCTAGATTATGAAGTCTATAATTGTCACACTACAGGTATAAATAGGTTTGTTGAGAATGCCTCCAAGAATAGGAAAGAAACACCCCAAGTAAAAAGGTGTAAAGAGAAAACGCTAAAGATAGGGTGAGACAAAAGTTTCAATAAGAGACTAAGAGGAAAAACCTTGAAGTCACTATAAAAAATTAAGATTTTAGAGACTAAAATTTATGAACAATTATTTTTTAGAGATTAAATATTTTTGTTGTGAAAAGTGTCATCATTATATTTTTAGTAACAAAAAGTAGACATTAGTGATGAATTATTATATCTTTTTGGACCAAATTTTTTGTTTCAAAAAATAAACCATTTTGAGACCAAATTATTTTGTCCCTAAAAGTGTATTTATTAGTGACATTTTTCAAAATTTTGTCACTAAAAACCTTATTTTTTACTTTTCGGGACGACCTTTTCACAACAATAGAATTTGGTCCCTAAAAGTTTTTTGTAACAAAATTTTCACTTTTAAAGACCAAAATTTAGTCGCTAAAACTCTTATATGTTGTAATGAGTAGCTATTGATGTAAAAATCAAATAATAATAGAAAATATTTTTGAGTGCATGCATGCAACAAATATTGCCCCTCCTCCCCTAAAAAAAAAAAAAACAAAATGCTATCAAAGCATGTTAAGTTCATAAACTGAGCGTAAAAAGAAAAAAGAAGCAATTGTTGAAGAAGAATCAAATTTTTCTTGTGAAAAAAAGTGATGAACATATTGGTGGCCAATAGG